ATGTTGTAGAGTTCCTCTGTTTGTGAGTTATCTTGGTGGATAATGGAGTTTGGCATTTTTTTTTTTCAGAAACTAATCAAAATGATTTGTAACTTCTAAATTTTATGTTTGAATTGTGTTTTAATTTCATTTACTTGCGGTTGAATGAGTGTTTTTTCATGATTGCTAAGAATGTTATGTGAGAAAATAAATTCTGTTTTTTTTTCCCGGACCCGAAAATTACTAAAAATGAAATTTTTGGAATATAGTATTATTTATTAATCATTTCTTGGTCCATCATGCAATAATATATAAACCTCTGCTGTGATGTTTGTTGTAACTTGTAACTAGTGTAACCTAGGGCTTTGAAAAAGTCTAAACAAGAATCAGAATATACTTATGTGTGGGACTGTGGTAGAACAAGTGTTTTGAGAATTTCCCAGCTAAGAAAGCCAAGATAAGTTTAAAAGTAGTTGTGCCTCTAAATGACTAAACATTAATTATGTTTATTTTCAGGTTAGATCACTCACCACGAAGCAAGAAGTTTTAGGAGATAGTTACATCATAGAAACGTAAACTATTCCCAGTATCAATACAATATAATATCGACCTCTCGTTTTTATCCTTCACAACACAATAGAAAAAATTATATTGTTTAGAGATAGAAAAGAGAACTTATCAAGTTTTTTTCACTAGAATGTATAATCTAGTGGATGATCCTACAATGGATTCAATTGCCTATTGGAGCCAAAACGGCAAGAGTTTTATCATTTTGAATCCGTTCGAATTTTTTAAAATCACTAGGTTTTATTCTGGCTACGCAAATTGTTTGGAAGGCATATTTGGCCTCTATGTAAGTTTTGAGTTTGTATGTTTAACTAATCATTTATGGTGGTTAATTAGTGTTTAATTCTTACTACATTTATTCCTTTTTGCAGAGATTTGTAAGATTTAGATCTGATATATACAAATGATAATTTTGTGCGAGGCCAACCTCATCCAATGGAAAATATACGAAGAGCATACGTCTTCTTCAATAAAAGAGATTTTATAAATCAGGTTGAGACACTCACAAAGGAGAAAGAAGAGTTACTTGCAGAGTTACATAAACAAGAGATTCAAATAAAAGAACTAAAGTACCATTTGCAAAACACAAGATTTTGTAAATTATGACCAAAGCTCAGTCTCATCGATAATAC